GTACTTTTTGGCCCATAGGTTATGCTTATTATGCGTGACTTATAAGCACCCAAAAAATCTTATTTTTTAAATTGTGGCCACAATTATGAATATTTTTTGCTCATATTTTAATATGATATGTTATTTACAAATATCTTAAATGTAAATTAACAATTTTTTGATATCTATTATATTTTTAATTTTATACACAATTTAGTAACTATGCGTGACTTATAAGCGGTACCTTACAATATTTGACTTATATTTAAACGTTAAATTATATGTAGTACATATTATGTACTGTACAATTACCTCAGAATTACTTATAATCATTTTACACAATTTCTCAAACAAATAATGATAGAATAAATTAGTGTACAGTACTAAAGCAATGTGTTGCAAAACTTACACCGAGTGTAAATTCATATACACATACTTTATAAAACAAGATTTTATCACCCCTATATTTGGTTCACATAATAATAGGGACTAAATTAAATAATGTATAGTTAAACAATCAAATAAAAACATTTTGGGACATACTGAACTAGAGCATTCATTGTCAAATTATTAATCTGTCAGATAGTGTAATTATAATGAGTGACATTTGAGTGACAGGATTTAGAATTTAATAACAATAATTTATATTTACAAAAACAGATGAACAAATATTAAGGTAATTCCTAATACCTGGGATAAATTGGAATTTAATCAGATTATTTAAATTCTTGATATTTATCATTATATCCTGTACATTGTCTCATTTTGGTGTTGTATTTAATTTGAAAATTTTGTTATTTAAACCTTAATTCAATATTCATAGTGTATTGATATTATAAACATGTGCTTTACATTCATCAAATCAAATATAATAATTTTGTGTAAGGGAACGTTCACAAATTACATTCGCACACACATGCGAACGTTATTTTTAAAATGACTACATGCGAACAAAGTGCGAACATAGGGGGGGAGGGGGTCTAGATTTCTTAAAAAGTGCGAACGTAATATGTGAACGTTCCCTAAACCTTTGATTATCTCAAATTAAGTGCAGTGAATCTCATTTAAAGATAAACAAATACTATATACAAATTGATAAATACAATCAAATTAATAAAAACCACACGTTTAAGTGATTAATTATTTTAACAATTTTTAGATGTTTTATTTGTAAAAAACAATCCATGACTTAAAGTATAACATAAAAACAATGTGTTAAATATATACAATAGTGTATAAAAGTATGGATACCAAAAAGCCCGATGTGAAACATATCGCTGATATAGTGGGTGAATGGGGTAAATGGCAGTTCGTATTCTGCACCTACTGTTTCCTGTTGTGGGGATCCGCGGCCTTCATTAACATGGGATATGCATTTCACGCTAAAAGTGTGGACTTCTGGTGCGCCGACACACCAACTAATTTTACTGTAAATTAATTTGATTTTATAAATAATTTTATTAATAATGGCGGTAAATATTTAATTTTTATTCAAATTTAATAATCTTATGAATTATTATTGAAAAAAATATAGTTACAACATTTAAGCGATTCCGCGAAATGCCATAAATATAATAATCCAAACGAAAGCTGCACTCATTGGGAGTATAATAGGACTCAGTTTAGAAAAACAATCATTACTGAAGTAAAAATATTAATATTTTTATTGAACAAAATAATATATAATTAAACATCTATTGATAGTTTGATTTAGTGTGCGATCGAGCAAACTATGCCTCATTAACCCAAGCCTTTTTCATGTTGGGTTATGTGGTGTCGGGTTTTGTTGTGTCCCACTATTCAGACAAATACGGTCGACGACCGATGGTTTTTATTTGCTATGGTATTGAAATATTGGGTATTATTT